TTTGTCAGCGATATCATGTGATTCATTTTCCTTAGGTAAGATTTTTGCCTTAGGCCTCTTAAAAAGTTACATAATATGTGTTTGCGTCATATAGTTTTTATTAGGAATTAATATATGGTATTTATGTTGTTTGATGTTAGCTCTGTGCTTGTTATAAAATCCTATAGTCTAATCTAATGACATGCATGCATGTAGTCATTGTTATAAATAATTTAAAATGCATTATTTACTTATTTGAAAAGCTATAAGAAAATGGTTTTGCATCTGATTTTGGACTTATGGCTATTGAAATGGATTTATGTAGTCTAACTTTTATGAAACAATGTATAACGGTAAAAATCTGAGATTTTCAAAACTTAAAAAATTCAAGAACTTAGAATTAGAAGTATAACAAGGAATCCAATAATCCAGCTTTCGTTCACAAATCACTCCATACTTGTGACCTCGAATAGATATTTAACTAAGAAAGCCATAAAAGTCAAAAGAAGTTAGCAAACAAACAAGCATTGCCAGCCAGGTATTATTATGAATGATTTATTTTATATTTATATTCCCTGCTCCTATTATAAATTATTTTCAACATATTTTTTACAGGAAAAAAAATCTTAAATCTTATTAATTTTATCTTAAAATTTAATAAATTTTCAACCTTATACCTAAAAACGATAAAAAGAATTATCTGAACAAAACTAATATAAAAAATATAAATAAGAACAAAACTAATATTCTCTCTTTCTCTGTTAATAGGATTATAGGAGTATTGTACATGTTGTTACTAATATTAATATAATTTAAGTATGTGTTTAATTCAAAAGTAATGTAAAAGTTATAGGATGTTAACTTTATCATACAGTGATAAAATATAATAGTACATTTTTTTAGATTTTATATAATGCATGACAAAATGTACTTTTTCTATTTTAACCCATATAAGACTCACCTGGTACAATATACTGTGACATTAGAAAGATTAATTAATAATTAATGGGGAAGAAATTAGAAAGCCGAGGCTCATTTGGTAATTTGGTGTGTAAGCCATGTGTATCTAAAATTACGCTTGCTTTTATAGCAAAAAATATGGGCCAATTCGGCCTATATAGATTGAGAGACATATGAATTAGATTGAATTTAACTCATTTTTATATGGGTTGAGTTTCAACCCGATCTAATTTTTGAAAATTGATGGATTAAATGAGTTAACTCACCAACCCATTTATTTATTTTTTAATTTATTTTTTTATGAATTTTTTAAAAAAATACATCTAAATAAAAAGTTTTAATTTGATATTCTTTCATGACTCATTTTAAATATATCAAAATATTAATTTATAATATTTTTACAATTGATCTAACTAAGTAAGTCATGCCTAATATGGTTTATATTCACAATAATTTTTTTTAATTTATTTTAAAAATAACATGGGTTAAACAGTTTAACCCTAACCCATATGACTCACAGGTTATATGGTTCGGGCTAAAAAAAACTCATTTTTATTTAGGTTAATTTTTTTCCAATTCAATCCAACCCTTATAACTAGTTATTCGGGTTAACCCACATAACCTGACCCATATTTTCAGCTCTACTTATTATGTTGTTAGTATCTACTCTGCTTCATGCAATATTTTATGTCTATTATATCTAATTATTTAAATTCTGTTCAGAATGTGATTTTTCCACATCAAATTATTATTTAAATTAAATTATCAAAATATTTTTTATTAAGATCAAGTCTAAATAATTAAAGTTAGATGTTCATTTAACGTACCTCCTTAAAAATGTAATCCAAATCCTGATTCTAAACACCAGTTTAATATACTGAAAGCACTCTTAATGAAATGTGACCAGGAAAAAAGAACGAAAATGAGAACAAAAAGGGAGCGCGAATGAATTGTTTTTTTTTCTTTATCAAAATCACACGTACTAAAAAAGTTTATTAAACACATTTTATAATTTTAATTTTTTTTGTAAATTTTTAAAAATACCTTCCTTCTAAGAAGGGAGGGAAGGAAATTTATTCAAGTTGAAATAATGAGATAATATTAGAATAATTATCATCAATGAAATTTTATTTTTTGCAAAACATTTTTTTTGTTTAGGTAAGTTGAATTTCAAGAATTTACTAGGATTAGAACATGTTTCCAAACTCAAAAAAATGCTAATAAATTGCCTACCACTAAAGTTGTCATATCGACAACAAAATTTGAACCCACAACTTTATGAATTATGAGTCAAACTCTTATCAATTGAATTAACTTTTGTTGGTTTCAAAGCATCTCATATTCTAGAACAACAAATCATATGCAAAAATGTCTTATAAATGAGATAGAGGGAGAATTTCAATAGAATTAAAAGAAAGCTTAAAATTTATCAACTCTATAAAAATTAATAAATTTTTAACTTTATCCATAATAAATATGCATGCTTTAATAAAATGTTTTTCTTTGCTAACATTTAATGGAGGTAGAAAGAAAAACCTGTTGTTAAAAATTTAATGACATAATAACTTATAAATAGAGAGAAAAAATCTTTTTTTTTTAAACTATGTGATGTAGTTTTTTTTTTATATATAAAAATGGAGGAAGTATCTAATAATATATATGCATATAATATATATATATATATATATATTCTTTTTGGCCCTACTTATAAGTTTTGAATATAAGTTTTTTTATTCTATTTATAAGCTACATTATTAAATTTTTACTATAAATTTTTTCTTTTGCTTTTCATCAAAGAGAAAGTATGTTGATAAAGAGCACGCTTGTGCGTTTAATAGAGACAAATTTAAAATTTGTTTACTTGACATAGAGTCTAAATTTTTTTTTAATTCTAATAAAATATGTTAAAAATAACTTATAAATAAGATTAGAGATATATAATATGTAATATTTTCGTTTTATCATGAACTGTTGCCATACATGCTAAACGCTATCGCTGATCTATTCATGCTGTCTCTTCTATATCCAACCCTCTGTTTCCAGATACAGAGGTTCTTCATATATATAGCAGCTGCAGCCAAAGCTGAGTCCTCGAGCAAGGAAATTGTTGTATTGTCATGAACTGTCTCCATACATATATCCTATGTGCGTAGTGTTGTAAATTATTGTGGTATTATATGTGTCAATCTACATATACAAATATTAATGTTCACTCTAAACTTTGGTCTCATAAAATTATGATGTTTGGCTTGATCATTTAATATATTAGGAGCTGTTTGGTTTCCAGAAAAGATCAACAGTGGAGAAAATGGAATATGGGAATTCAATTAGGGAAAACGTTTGGTCACCATAGGAACGAAGGTAGAAAGGAATGGCAATTCCATTAAAAAATTGGGAGGAATTACCATTCCTACGTTTGGATCACGGATATCATCAAACGGGCTTAAAGTCTACCAAGTCGGTGAATTTATGCCACAATACTAGCGCTATCAATTTTAGTTGTACTTGGATAAATCTGATTTGAATATAAATTTAAAGCAAATCTTTCATATATAAAAGTCTTCAGATTTAGATTTGATCTAAATATAAATTCTTGCTTTATTATAATATCTCTGTAATTTTAAATTCTTTTTAAATCCTAATTATTTAAAATTTGAACTACTCTAACCATGTCATTTTCTTGAAGTTTTGACTATCAGCGCCTATATCATACTCACTTCTCTCATCTCTAGTTCTTATTCTTCATTGATTGAAAAATAAAAGTAAACCTATCATTCTTAATATTTCATTTCTATTTTGAATGTCAACTTCTTTTGTTTCACCTTTAAAATTTCTTATGCTGTTTAAACAAAGAGTTTTAAATATATGTACTTTAAATCTAAAATTTAAATTTAAATTCATCAATTCAAAGCATTAGCCAAATCTCTTGACAATGTAATATGGTAATAGATCAAAAACCAATATTCGAATGTTTTACCTAGGAGAGAAACTAACACGTGTAGCATATACGAACTCAGAGATGAATGATGAATCATACCTAACGTTATAAAATATATATATATATATATATATATATATCTAGCCTGTCAGTTTGGTCAGCGCAACTTTAACTTACATGTTCTAATTTCATTGAAAATTTTAAGAAACGTTTTTGCTGTTGAATTATTTCACGAATACAGGTTATCTTAAATTATTCATTGAAACAATATCATTACAATACAAGTGTCAATAGTTGCAATGTCACCTTTGGACAAACAAACATGAACAGTCACCATTACTTTTAAATTGACTTAGCTAAAAACCACTTTGGCCCCAAAATATTCATATAAATATAACTGACATCCTAAAGTTTTATAACGTAAAGCAATTGAAACCCCCCTTTTTTTTTAAATCAACATTTGTTGCATCATTTTTAGGGTGTCATAAGGTTTTCTAACTAGACATTCATCAGTTTTTTTAAGAAAAAAAAAAATCCATCTATTTATACAAGTGATCAACTAACAATATTGTCACATGTTATATCTGTCTATACTATCATAGACGCTATAGGTATTTGTCAGTGAAAAAGGTCAATCAGTCCTAAAACTTGTTAAGATAGACATATAGACTATCATAATACAGTTAATTGACAATTAGTGTGGGCTAACAAATCTTTTTATTTTATGCCAATGAATCCTGAGATTCATTTCTTCATCTTATTATTTTAACCAAAACACGTGTGTCATATTTTGATGTTGATTATTAGTCTTGACAAAGAGATGTTATTTGAATTGCAAGCCTAGTCAACAAATCAAGATAAACATATATAACTTGTGACAATATTACTGATTGATCACTAGTCCAGGTTTATACTTTGTCTTTTGATTGATGAATATCTAATTGATAAATCATGCGACACCTTAAATATAATGTCACATGCTTTGATGGATAAAAGCAGGGATACCAATTGCTCCATATTATTGAACTTTAGGTCACAAATTACTCTTCCATAAATACTTTAGAGGAAAACATACTTTTTAATCCAAAATAAATATAAAATCAATATCCAAAGTCAATGTCCGTTAGTTCAAGAGTGGCATTACTCAATAAATAATTTAGCATAACCAGCGCGCCTCGCAAAATAATTTAGAAACAAAAATGCCTTTTAACCCAAGAATCTAATAACAAAAATATTAGTTTCTATAATCCTCCGGCCTAAGCTTTCACGGAGCCACTCATGTCCATTTTAAATAAGAGGTAAAAGAAAGGGCCACTTGAAGTAAGATCCCAAGGCTTTGACACTTCTCACTGAGATGGCGTGCTTGGAAGAAGCTCAATGGAAATAATGGATTTTGAACTTAACCTTTTCTGGCCCTCAGTGGAATGAATCCTAGCAAGCTCATATTCCCACTCAACATAATAATATACGACAGGCAACCCTGTAACTATTGCATCTAGCAAGATTGACTTTCAATACCACAAAATAAGCCACACGAATGGTCCTCAATTACCAAAATTATATGTACCTTCACTGTATTTTCCTAGCAAGCATTACTGAAAATAGACGTAGAAAGAGAAGCGGGGGGGGAGAGAGAGATCAAGTTACCCAAGTTAAAGAAGAGACACTTATATTGAAGCCATCATGAGACCAGAATTGGGAGCAGATTGGATGAATCTCGCTATCTTCTTAGAGCATATACAACAATAGAGGCTTGGAGATCGCGATCTACCTTGAAGTGAGCATTAAAAAATCTACTCTCCTGTTTCAATCCCAATATTAATGAAATCCTCAAATTTATAAGCTACAAGCTTATTCTAATCTCTGGCCCAAAAACATATAGAACCATTGCCTTATCTATAAATAATTACCTCTGTGTAGTTATGTGATAGTAAATAGTTCCTCAGTTTTTGTTCTTCTGAATCATATAAAACAATGTGACTAGGCTGAGACCAGTTTTTTGCATATTCCGACACAAAAGCAAGAGGGTCCATCAAGAAATGGTCTGACTCATCCAGAACTCCTTTCTCTTCACTGTCCAACACAGTAAAATTCCATAAACATAATTATGAACAAATTTTGAGAGTCACTAAGAAGGTCACAGAGTTGTAGATTCCACACCTTGGTGAACAGTCCAGAAATTGCATGGGCAGGTTAGAATGCAGCATAGAATAGTAGGGTGTAGCATGACATGGCGTTAGGAACAATATCCTTTTAACTTTCCCATCATAAGCTTCTCTGGCGAGGTGGTTCATAACATCCTCAGGTCCTCTCTGTCGAGATAAATAAGGGAGATCAAAATTAAAGAACAAAACAAATAAGCAATCTTCAATGCAATATGACATGAATAAATAAATAAATACCAGAAAATTTCACCCATAAAATGCTAATTTGTAAAACAGTGAAAATAATTTAGTCCCAAATGTAGTTCAACAACAACCAAGTACTCCTGAACCCCAAAAGGTGATGTGCAGGAAGGATGTGCTTTTATCTAAGAGGTGGGGGAAAAGATAGATATATTAAATCTAGCTTTTATGAATTTATGATAAAACATACCTGATGAACCAAACTCATGTACAAAGCCATTGGAATATTGGTTGCAAGCAAGAATAAGATAGCAATTCCCTTCTTTATAGGGAACCTACTATACTTCTTCAAGGATCCTTTTTCTTCATTTTTTGCAGAACCAGGATCATCCATAATGGCTAAAGAATAACCAGCGAACATAAGAGCGATAGGAAGAATTGGCAAGACAAACCTGTGCGTCACAGCAATTATTATGATAAATCTAGCAAAAACAATGGGCCAATTGCATGTTGGCAAGCAAAATGTAAAATAATCAGATTGAAATACCTGAATTCCTTGTGACCTAACACACTGTAAAGTGCCAAAACCCAAGCAATAAGGCCAACAAACTTCCATTGCTTGGAATAAATTATGCCAGCTAATGAAAATGGTAAGTGAGTGAAGATCATGACTGTAAATCCCTGAGTGAAGTACCAGTGCCACTTGTGAGTTCCATAATAGTCTCCACCCGAGGAAAGAAAATTGAATTTTAGAAAATTAAGAGGCACTAGAATCCACTTGCCATACATGAAACGATCTAGTAAGCATGTTAGTCCAAGCACCAGGACTCTGGTAAAAGAACAAAAGCAAATTACTATTGTAAGATGCATCTTAAAAGGAAATGTATCAGATGTAGATGTAAATTTCATAATGCCCACTATTTCTCCATCCCCGCTGGCTGCTGGGTATTTTCACTAAAAGCATAAGTGACAATACGAGCATGCGCCCCCCCTTTTCGGCATTTAATCAAATTGATGACTTTAATTGTGCCTTTCCCATAATTTGTACTCTACCCAAAACACATTTGATTCTATTTATGAAGCAAAATTTTAGAGAGACATATAACCAATGCATAATAGCAATTTTAGAAAGCCTTTTTCAAAAATATTAACGAGTACCTTAACTTTAAATATTAATGCCAAGAATTGCATGAGAATTGGAGATTGGAAAGTGAACTACATTGTGGATGCCAAACAGCAAAAGGACTTAACTGCACTGATAACAAGGAGCAAAATGATTCTAGAAGCAATACTAGAAAATACAAGGGCAGTCAAAGATGATATGTATAAAGGAGAAAGCAAGAATTTAAGAATTACATGCGTGAAAGAATAGATGATTCAATTTGTTTCAAATAAAGACAGTCATAGCCGTCTTAAAATATTTGTCTTTTACTCAAAATAGCCTAAGCCAGACTGAAAATACAAGAGCCTGCTTGTGGTTGATAACTGATAATGGGGAAACCCAACAAGCAAGCAGCTGGAGTGCAGGAAACAAGAGTACTTCAAAAACCAACTACATAAATGTAAAAGAATGCTTACAGGCTTTACATGAATATACACATCAATAGAAAAGTTTAGGAGAAATTAACTGAAACTATCAGTCAGAGATCTCTTTATCTGCATAAATTAAGTGGGTTCATGGAAAGAATTTGTTAGTTAAAGGTTGTATGGAAGGACTGATCGGATTGAATATAGACAGAGTACCACTGATGGCACTGAAATTGGAGCCAGAGTGATTAGTCTGTAGCAAAGAGTTCATCACCTCATATACAAGATCCATTTTAAACAACCAAGAAGCAGAAATTATGCAATTAAAAATTAGTGAAAATGAATTCAACAGCATCAGTTGGCCCTTATTTTTGTGTTCTGATGATACTATCTTGTCATAAAATGTCTGTAATCTATTTAACAAACATATCAAACGACAAACTATTTGGTTATATATATATATATATATTTGTAAGAGAACAAAACTCAAAAATCCAACATCGCCTCCAATATTGTAATTTTTTTAAAAGCTCCACCTTCATTATTTGTTCGAGAGTGGGCAGCACTTATAAGATAGTACCTACAGCTAGCTGTAATACAATAGCTTTCTTTTATTAAAACCCATCAAGTTGTACACTTAAGATGTTTTATATTCATGAACATCATTCTGTACTAGCTAACTTATAAAATTGGTGTATTAAGATTTGTGGCATGTGGTATGTGATTTTTACAAATTCATTACTGCATTCACTAGAGCCACAGATGATTGCAAACTAAAAAAAAATGAATAAATGTCATCCATTTGTTGGTAAGTCAACACTTCATGGAAAGAAAAGCAAATGAATTTCACCCATATGACAAGTGGAAAGGTTTTTCAAATACTTAGCGCGGAACATAAAGAAGACAAACAGTCCCTCTTGATGAACGTCATACTAGAGTGAGTAAATGATCCCAGCACATACCCAATAGGAGCGATCTCTAGAAAGAGGAACCTCAATCTGTCATCTGACGTTAAAAGCTCAAGCAGGCCAACATACAGCCACGTGATTGCACTTGTTGGCCGAACAGCACAAGCTAAAGCTGCAACAAGTAAGGCCCACTTCCTTGAAATGAAGGACCATTCGCCAAAGGGTCTCATGCAAGGCCAAAAGTATAGAGACACTACTGTAAGAACAGTCTCCAAGCTATTTGACAATGTCCGTGACAAACAGTAAAACATAAACCAATTTGTCAACTGGCAAAAGAGCTGAAGCAGAGTTAAGATTGCCATATATCAAGGTAGAAAACAAATAAGAAGCAATAACTTCCGATATGGAATAAACTTCAAAGTAACATTAGCCATGTATATTGGGATACAGCCCATTTTGCAACATGATGACCAAAGACAACATTGGATAGTTTGTACAGGTACAAATCACACACTGCTGAGAATATGGACTGTAGCAGCCGCGGAGCCTTCATCTATAAACATGAAGCAGAAGTTAAGTCTATGAGAATCATATGAATAGAAGATAACAGGAAAAAAATTGTAACAGTGAAAAAACTTCAACAGTTGGGCAAAACAAAGTTGCATGCTTATATTAACAAGTTTGGCGAGCAAAACGTCTAAACACAGAATAAAACACATTGCTTATTTAGGTAGGTCAGAAACGTAGAACTAATGTGGAGATATCAAAAGCCAAATGGGTATCCCCCCCCCCCCCCCAAATTTTTTTTAGCAACATATTAACCGAATATTAGCACAAATCTAAAAGAAGATTAACCACGAATGCATAAAGCTTGTTAACTCCTATTTAAACCATGACTACATCATGTTGAAACACACCACCTCTTCTGTCAACTCCTAGATAAATATATTTAGTTTATTTACCATGAACCACGGACTATCAAGACGAAGTAAGGCCAGAATTCTGTAAAGCACGACAAAAACCATCGGATGCAAGTAGCTTCGGATTCCTTCCTTCCACTCCCACGTCAAATGACCATACCTGCCATTTGGATCAATCAGCCCGCATTCCGGTGCACAGTGTAACATTGTGAAACACAGATTTCTTGAACACGGAGAAAAATTTTGCTGGAAATTAACAGACTTTAGTGGAATCTGAGCTACCCAAATGCAATGCGGTGCGCTACTTCAGGCCCTTGCCAGTATTCATCCGGATTGAAATAGGACTTCACTAACAGAGCATTAATCATTCGGAATGCGAAGCAGAAACCAAAGATCCTCTTCTCTGATGAAAACGGAAAGCTGCATAGGAATCCCGAATCTTTCGATTTGGATAAATTTGAAGTCCCGGGGGGATATTTAGCTGCTGGTGGACGAGCGGCATTCTGTCTGTGTCTCATTACTGAGGACTTCTGCTAAATATATTATATAATGTATTTTCTCACTGATCCGAAGGCAGCAGAGAATACAGTTACTGTAATCGAACTCACAAAACACCATTCCAATCAGCAATCAATTATCAATAATCGAAAGGGGGATTTTGTTTTTTGGGTCAGAGATCAAAATTTCAACTTAAAAGCTAGGTCCTTACCCGCGGGCAACGATAGAAATCTGAACACCGAGAACGTTCCTGGATCAAACTCGACCCAAATTCATTCGATATGGATTTGAGCTACCTTGAATTTGACTGGCTTTTCAACAAAATTTGTAGAAACGGTACTCCGGTGCTTTTAACAATTTTTTTTGGGGAAAAAAAGATTCGATTGCTGCATGGCATAATCATTTTGGCCCTTCAACAAAACACGATCCAATTTGATTAACTTGCAATTGTGATAGGTTAGTTTTAACCACAATCAAGCTATTGTGTCATGAATTATATTAATAGAGTTATCCGTAATTAACTTGATTTTAAAATCACATTTTGAATTTTCATCATAGTTTTTTAGCTTGTCTTGGAAATGTTTTATCATATTCTTATTATAAGTGGATCGTCCCAGCATACTTTTACATTATTATTTTTCATAACACATTAATCCACCATTAATTCATTTCTTTCGATTTGTTGACCAAAAGAAAAAAAATCACTTTAAATTCAATGAGCTGGTTTCGACTCATCAATGTTGTTTAATTTAAATATATTCTTGGTTCTTTTTATGTAAAAATGCAAATATATTAACAAAAGAAAAATGAAGTTTACCAAGTAAATGTTAAAACAAGTCTCCTGAAATAACTAGAAAAAGCGAGAAAAGACAAAGAGTTGGACCCAAATTTTTGAAAAGCATAGCTATTGTTCTAATTTTATCGATTAAAGCAGAAGCAAATTTATTTGTTATGTTTAATCTTCAAATTCTCAAGATTTCCAAAATTCTTTAAAGAGAATTTTTAATCCAGATCAAGAGACCATAAACGCAGAAAGCTAAGAGATGTGAGGAGATAATTTCAAATTTATAAAGAAGCAATTCAAGCTATCTCTCATGATTGAGAGATGAGGATACAGCACAATAAGTTTTCTTTCTTCTTTTGAAGATAGTAAATTGAATTTTTCAACTTAATGAAATTGAGTTTGAGAATTACCAAAAGAAGTGAAGATCTTTCTTATGTGACATTATAGTCTATAACTTTCTTTGCATTGCATATGTTATTCCATCTGCATGTGCCTTTTAGAAAGAAATGTTGTTCATTAAAGTATTGAATAGCCTATGCAACCAGAATTATCTTCCCTATATGAAGAGCTTGATTTCTATTATATCAAAACAATTGAAGAAGGTAAATGCAATCCATAGTCTAAATCTCCTAATATTGGAATAAAGATTTAGATATATGTAGAATCCAAGAGACGAGACCTTGGCTAGATATGTTTGAGGAATAGTTGGACAAATGAGCTTAACCATATGGCTCTTGAACAAGGACAATTACAAAAGGTGTGATGTAAAGTCTCTAGTAAATCAGAGCCAAATGCACATTGGAGTGAAGAGGAAATTTTTATATGGCAAAAGAAGTTTTCAAAGAAAAATCCAAATTTCCTCTTTTGTAAGGAAATTATCAAGAAATTATCTTGAAAGTCATAAGAGAGTTTAAAAAAACCATTTCCAACCAAAGCCCCAAATTAAACAATTAGTTTGATTAGTAAAAGAAATGGTGGGTCCTTAAAATTGAGTTAGCCTCCTCCTTGCCATAGAGATTACTTGTAAGTGATGCATTCCATTTGGTAGCCATCAATAGTGTTGGGTTAGTGATGATTAAATCGAAGACCGTGGAAATATTTAAATCAAGAACAAGGTCTTTATTACTAAACTTCCACCAAGTCTTATGGGAGAGTGAAAAGACTCTCCTTTCCTTACTTGACAAGTGAGATGCTTTTTAATTAAATCAAAAGCTTTAAAAATACCTTTCCCAAACCAAGAGGTATTGTGAGGTATTTTATAAAGAAGCCAATTAGTATTATGAAAATTCTTAATTCTGATCATGTTGCCCAAAAGTGAGTGTTGCGCAGCATTTAAAACTCTCCAAATCTACTTAGCCAACAAAGCTAAATTTAAATTTTTAGTATTCATCAACCTATGTCTACCATCTTTTGTAGGAGGGGAAAGGATATCTTTCTTAGCAAGATGAAAATTCCTTTTACCATCATTATAACCCAAAAAGAAATTAGCAAGTTTAATATCAATAGAGTCACAACAATATGCTCAAGAAGCTTAACACAAGAAAGAGTGTAGATGTTAGAAGCAAATAACACTGATTTGATAATTGCAAGTCTTGAAGCTTGTGCTAGCAACTTGAGCTTCCAAGAGGCGATTCTCTTCTCAATAAAATCCATGATCAAAGCAAAAACAAATGATTTGTCTCTTTAGCATCAATCCAAGTATGTAAGTACTTTTCAAATGAGTACTAGTACAAAGTATGAAATTTACGAGGTACTTTTTACATCGATTAGAAGGCAAACGGTGTAAAAAATTAAGACGGTGGCATTTTTGTAATTATGTTAAAATATTTGACACTTTTTATGCCGGGTGGACCTCCACCTCCCCTTCCTCCCTCTCCCCATCATCGCCCCATCCCCCTCGTCCCCTCCCTCGCCCGCCCCCCTCCCTCTTGCATGCCCCCACTCCCTACCTTCCCTCCACAATGCCTCTGCCTTGCCACCACTCCTTCTCCCCTCCTCACTCTTTTAGTACCGAGCCGTTGCTACAGCTGCCGCCACCTAGGTATGTCTTGAATATGAATTTTTAGATCTTATAATGCTTAAATTTAGTTTTTAATGATATTGATTGTTTTGGGAGTGCTGTTAGTAGCTTTATAAGGCCTCAGATTGTTGCATGTGATTATTTATTTAGTTTAAAATTGTTAATTTTCTCATGTAAAATTTTCTAAAACTTTTAAAAAGTCCAATCTTTAGGGGACACTCTATCAACATTTTTTTTAAATTCATTCTTTCCTCTAAATTGCTTAAATTTAATTTTTAATGATATTGATTGTTACTGAGAGTGCTGTTAGTGGCTTCATAAGGCCTCAGGTTGTTGCATGTGATCATTTATTTGGCTTAAAATTGTCAATTTTCTCATGTAAATTTTTTTTAAAAGTTTTGGGAGATCCAATTTTCAGGGAAGACTTTGCCAAAACTTTTTCAAATCTCAAGTTAATTAGAAATTTAGTTTCTTGAAATAGTTTGAAGGTATTAGCTATATTCTTTAGGAGGTGACACATGGATCGTAGTTGGATGAATGTTAGACGAACGAGTGACGAATATGATAATGGGGTGAAAGAATTTTTGGAATTTACTAAGAAAAATGCTGTTGACAGTAGTGAAAGGTTCTATTATCCTTGTGTTAATTGTTTGAATGAGAGGAGACTAGGTGTTGCCGAAATACAGAGCACTTAGTTTGTGATAGGATTTGCAAAAATTATACGATATGGATTTGGTATGGTGAACGATTGAAAAATTATAGTAACATATCTCAATGTGTGGAAGTTGATAATCTTGATGATGAAGTAGAAATGAATGAAGATCAGTTAGAGGACATGATCCGTGATGTTGGGGAAGAGGCTTTTAAACGAGCACATGTGCATGATAACTTGTGCACTGACGTAAAGAAGCCTCTACACCCAGGGTGCACTGATTTTAGTTTGTTATCTAGGGTGTTAAAACTGGTTACCTTAAAGGCAAGAGCTAGGTGGAGTGACCAAAGTTTTACATGGTTGCTAAAGTTACTTTAAATAATGTTTTTGAAAGGTAATGTACTACTAAATCATTATTATGATGCCAAGAAGATCTTGTGTTCAATGGGTATGAAGTATTAAAAAAAGACACGCATGTCCTAATAATTGTGTATTGTACAGAAAAGAGCTTGAAAGGGAGGAGAAGTGTTTGAAATGTGAGGCACCACAGTATAAAGAGAAAGGGGCTCCTACAAAGGTCTTATGGTATCTTCCAATTATACTAAGGTTCAAGCGTTTGTTTACAAATACTAATGATGCAAAGAACTTGATGTGGCATGCAAATAAGAGGATATCTGATGGAAAACTTTGACATCTAGTCGATTCTCCTCAATGGAAGAAAATTGATTAATTGTTTTTTGAATTTGGCAATAAGCCAAGGAACTTGAGGCTCGAACTTTCTACCAATGGAATGAATCCTTATGGTAGTCTCAGTAGCATACATAGTTCATGGCCTGTTCTTTTGGTGATTTACAATCTATTACCTAGGTTGTGCATGAAACGGAAGTATATGATGTTATCCATGTTGATTTTGGGACCAAAACAACCTGAAAATGATATTGATATTTGCCTAAGACTTTTGATTGAAGATTTAAAAGTGTTGTAGGAGGTAAGTATGGAAGTGTTTGATGCAAATCAGAAAGAGAATTTTAAGTTACATGCTATGATCTTTTGTATTATAAATGATTTTCCTGCATATGAAAATTTGTCTGGTTATAGCATGAAAGATCATAAAGCTTGTCCAATTCGTAAAGGAAGCACAAACTACCATCAACTTCAACATGGAAGGAAGACAGTTTACCTTGGCCATCGGAGGTTTCTTAGATGAGATCACCCATATTGTAGATTGAAGAAAGCTTTTCATGGTCATCAAGAACACAATGATGCTCCGGATGCTTTGACTGGGGATCAAGTGTATGAACGTGTAAAAAACATTAATATTGTCTTCGGTAAGACTAAAGAAAATACTGGTGCAAAAAGCATATGATAAAAAGGTCTATTATAACACTTGCCCCGAGTGTTATCCAAAAATCACACAATTCAAATAAACTAAGTGTGGTTAAAGAATTAATCCTAAAACCAACTTAGGAAATAAACCATTTAAATCACTAAGCAAATACACAATTGCAAATTAAATATTTAAAGCCTTTAAAAAATTTTATAGGTTCTACCTATAGCGCACGGAAGCAAGTTAGACGAAAGAAAGGTAAAAATATACTGTCATGATAGCATTAAATTGCTATCATGACAGCCCTCCTGAGTCAACTTCAGGGAGGCACCGTTCTGTCTTCCGATCTCCGATCGAAGAAATTTTAAAGCTCACAAGTCACATTCAAAGGGTACTATAAGTGTACCAAATTTCAAAAAGATCCAACGATCGGATTAAAAATTGGACATGTTACAAATTTGGTCAATTTTGCTGTTATGACAGCCCAAAAGCTGTCATGATAGTACTTCCGGACCAACTTTCGGAGTGCACCATTTCATCATCCGATGTCCGATCGGAGTGATTCTAAAACCCACATGTCACTTTTTAAGAATACTATTAGCATACCAAATTTTGAAAAGATCCAACGGACGGATTGAATTTTGTGCAGGTTACAATATAA